CGCTCCCCGGGGGAGCAGTTGATATTTGCGCGGCGGTGGGCGCTGTTGCCTTTCGCCACGCCGCCGCTCTGGACATGGTGGCAGTGGCAGAGGGGGTCCGTCTGATAAGAGAGGGGGGGGGGGGGGGCACCGGCACCGGCGGTTGCGGCAGAGTTGCGGCAGAGATGGGACGGCATGCATGGCTCCAGCAGGTCGGAGGCCGAGGCCGCGCGGCGCAATGCCAATCGGGCGGGCAGGCTGGTGGCGGCCACGTGTGCGAGACGAGCGACACAGCGCACCGGGAAAGCGATATTACGTCGCGACTGGTGTGTCTGAGTCTGTCTGGGCACGCATGCTTCAATGAAGCTTGATTTTTTGGCTCAGGGTTTAGCGGCTCTAGAGCTTTCTAAAGCCGTGTACCTCTCTCTCCGCCCCCCAAGCCCCAAGTGGGCGCTCCGCGCCGTGCAAACGGCGCCGAGAGTGCATCACAGCACACGCGCGACACACCCCTTGCACGGCGTCTGATGAAACGGCGTCTCGAGCCCTATCTCACACCTCCGTCGCGAAGCCGCTCTAAGTCTTTTTTTCGCCGTCAAGCCGCTCTAGCGGCGCTGCGCGCCGTGTGGAGTCTGGAGAGCGCGGCGCGTACAGAGGAGGACGTGCTGAGCACACGCCGTGAAGGGCGTCTCGTGAGTCGGCGATCTGCGCCCTATTCATAGCAAAAGGCATGGCAAAAGGTGTTGAGAATCGTCTCTTCACACCTCGAGCCGTGAACGCCGTCTAGCGCCTTCTTGCCGCCCCAAGGGCGCTCCGCGCCGCGCTACAGCGCCGAGCGTGTTAGCGCAGCACACGCGCAGCACGCCCCGTGAACGGCGTCTGATGAGTCGGCGTCGCGAGCCCTACCCGAGTCGAAAAGTGTGAGAATCGTCTCTCCACACCTCGGAGCCGTTAAGTCGTCTTTCGCCGTCTAGCCGCTCTAGCGGCGCTTCGCGCCGCGTGGAGAGCACGGCACGTGCAGAGCGCGGCGCGTGCAGAGGAGCGAGTGCTGCACACGCCGTGAAGGGCGTATCGTGAGTCGGCGAGCCGAGCCCTGTTCATAGCAAAAAGTGTGAACGGCGCCTCTTCACACCTCGACACCGTGAACGCCGTCCGGCGCCTCTCTCCTAGGCTGCCTGCGGGGACCCATGCGGATGTGCGCCGACGCCATCGCGGCCGATTCTATTCGTTCGTCATGTCGGCCCTCGTCGCGCAGGCCGGCTCTCTGGCATTGAATCTGGTGTCGGGCGTCGGCGTGGTGCTCGCAAATAAGCTCGTATTCACCACGGCGAGATTCAGCTTCCCGACGGCGCTCACCGCGTGTCATTACGCCACCAACTTCCTTCTGCTCTTGTGCCTCGACGTGGTCAGGCCGAGCGCGGAGTCACGGCGGGGCGGCGGGGCCGAGCCTCTCGACCGGCAGCTCATGTTTTTGACCGCCGTGTGGGCGTTTCACAATGCGCTCTCCAACCTCTCGCTCTCGCGCAACTCGGTCGGCCTCTATCAGGTGAGCAAGATCCTGGTGACTCCGCTGATCGTCGCCCTCGAGTACGCCGTCTACCGCCGACTGCCCCACGCGCGGCTGGCGCTGCCGCTCCTCGGCGCGTGCCTGGGCGTGGCGCTCGCCACCGTGAGCGACGTGAGCTTCGAGGTGCGCGGCGCGCTCACCGCCGCCGCCTCGGCGTGCGCGTCGGCGCTCCTGAAAGTGCTGCAGCAGGACGTGTTGCAGCGGCGCGACTGGAGCTCGTTAGAGCTCATGCGGCGCACGTGGGGGCCGCAGACGCTGCTGCTCGTGCTGAGCGTGCCGCTGCTGGACGCGCGCGCCGATCGGCTGCCCCAGTACGAGCCGACGGCCGAGCGCGTCGGCATCCTGCTGCTCTCGTGCGCGGCGGCCTTTGCGCTCAACGTGTCGGCCCTGTACGCCATCAAGCTGACGAGCGCGATCGCGATCGTCCTGCTCTCGCAGGGCAAGACCGCCGTCACGCTCCTCGGCGGCTACCTCTTCTTCGACGGCCAGCCGAATGTGCGCCAGCTCGGCGGCGCGACGATCGCCGTGCTCTCGCTCGGCACGTACTCGTACCTGTCGGCCACCCTCGGAGGCGTGGCGGGCGCGGCACCGTCCTCCCAGCGCGGCGAGGACCCGCCGACCGAGGCGGAGAGCGCGCGAGAGCAGCAGCAACCGCTCAAAGGCGGCGACGCGTAGCTGCGCGCCGCCTGCTGCAACCGAAAGCGTCGGTTGCTCTGTGAGCTGCGTGTTGCGTGCGACCGAGGGTTACCAGGGAGTGAGGGCGTAGATACTCCGAGTACGATACTCGGAGACCTGTTATATCGTAAAACGTCACGTATATATTGTCTATTGAGTATCGAGTTTTCCGTACGAGTGCTACGAGAGCCCCACTCTGCGTATCCACGCAGCCGTGAAGACGGCATCGTACGTGGCACACAAGCGCACTCACAGAATTTAGCGTGCTGTCCAATACGCAAATGCCAGAAAATACGGAATTCTTGATATAGCTTATACGTTATAGGCCGCGACTACATGTAGGCATCCGATCCGTTCGGTCACGCGCCGCACGTCGCGCCGCGGGTCGGGTTGATGTGTCGTGTACAGAGTCGAGTACCAACCGCTTTGCGCGGAGTGTCAACTACTTCTTTTGAGCTCAAGAGCACGAGAAGAGCGGGTGACGCCGCACGCCGAAGAGAAGAATTTTCGGACACCACGACCACCGACCGCATGACGTCGGGGCGATCAATCACGCCACCGCCGCAATCACCGCACCACCGCCGCCGTGGCCTCTACAGCCCACGCCGAGCGAGCGCCGCGGCCCTCTTCTCGCGCTCGCTCATGCCCGCCTCGTCGGCGGTCGAGGCGCCTCCGACAGCGCGACCCTCGCCGACGAACTTTGTCCGATTCTTCTACCCCTATGACGTACGCGTAGCGCCGGCACCCCAGCGTAGAGGCCTCGTGTACAAAAAACGGCCGAAAATGGGCAAAAACGGGATGATTTTGGTCATCCGTCAAAATATCTGAAGATCCCAATATAGGATTCTCCCCAAACCTTGCTCAGCTGATCCAGCATGGGTCGTAGGCCAGGCCTGGGCAAAGAAACCAGTACCTCATCGGGCTTCCCTGAGCGTCACAGCTCGGTGATCGCGCCAGCCGGACACCACTGTAACGTCCGTTCCGGGCATTTGAACGCGACCTTCGGGGGCAAAGACATGGGCTCTATGGCTCAGACTGGACTCCTCTTGGTCCCTTCTGATGCCCTAGGCCACACCTGGGTCTTACCCGGGGTCCTAGGGGGCGGGCTGGGTTTGCCCCCCCGAACTGGCCCGAGGGAGCTTAAAGAGGAACCTCTTAGCCGCCATGGCGCTGCAAGCAGCGCCGGGCAACGACGACTTACCGCCTCCCATTTGCACACACACACACAATGTGGCTGCACCCATGGCACGAGCGCCGTCTCGATGAGGTGGTGAACCGCTCCTCCTTTTCGTGCAAGGGCCGTGAGATGAGCGGGCTGAGCCGCGCGCACTCGCTGCTCGCTCACCGCGGCCTGATCAGCCCGACGCTGCGTGCCGCGTCGACCGTCTACTACTGGCGCCACACCGCCGCGCAGGAGCGCTCGCGCCACGAGGCGGTCTGCAGCAAGGCCTCTGGCTGGCACCTCGCCTCGTTTGGCTCGCACGGGTCGTTTGCGGACCGCGCGAGCTGGATCTGCCGGCGCGCGAGGCACGAGATTGGCGGGCGTTCGCGGTCGGCGGCTCCGCGTGTGCTCGACTCCTGCACGACGTCCAACCTCACGTCGCTCCCGCGGCGGTGGAGGGTCCGACACAACGTGTCGCGGGCCGTGCGCGGCGCGGGCTACTGGAAGTGGAAGCCGTTCTACCTGCTGAAGCGGCTCGCCAAGCTCGCAGGCTCGGCTCCATCTCCTCAACCCGCCTATGAATTAACAAGCTATGTGTTTGATGAATGAATGGCAGACGGCGACGTACTGGTCCACCTGGACTACGACCTCACCATCACCGACGACGCGTCGGCGCTCTTCTGCCTCGGCCAGAACGCGGAGCGCGGCGTCGCGCTCATCCACTTCCCATGCTGGACCGACCGGCAGTGGTCCAAGGCGGAGCTCGTGCGGGCGCTCAACGCGACCGACGCGATGCTCGACACGGCGCAGGTGTACGGAGGGGTCGTCGTGCTGCGCAAGACGCCGTTCGCGGTGCAGTTCCTGCGCGAGTGGCTGCAGGTCGGGTAATCTCGGGCAATCTCGGGTACTCTCGGCGTGATCTCGGCGTGATCTCGGGTAATCTCGCGGTGCAGGTCGCCACCGACCCGGACCGCGACCTGAGCGAGGACGTGCCTTGCAGGAGACACGACCCTCCCGGCTGCGAGCAGCGCGCAAGGCACCCGCCGGGTTGCGAGTGCGCCGAGTGGGCGACGCCGCAGGACCCGGCCTTCCGCGAGCATCGGCACGACCAGTTCCCTACCTACCCAGTACCCGAACCCAGTAGGACCCGGCCTTCCGCGAGCATCGGCACGACCAGTTCCCTACCTACCTCGTACCCGAACCCAGTAGGACCCGGCCTTCCGCGAGCATCGGCACGACCAATCGATCGTCTCGCTCCTCGCCAAGCGGCACGAGATTCCCCGAGATTACCCGAGATTACGACGACCGGGAAGGCTCCAAGAAGGCTCCGAGAGCTTCGGCCTTAGGCACGGCCTCAAGACCTTCCCGATGCCCACCGCCTCGCACGACCCGCGCTCGCTCTGGTCGTGGGACGCGGGATACTGCGAGGCGGCGTGGCCGCTCGAGACGTCGCGCGGAGGGGAGAGGTACTTGCCGCGGGTCTACTCGCCCAAGGGAAAGATGACGTCGCCGGGCGTCGTCCTCCACTGCGCCCAGGCGTGGCTCCCCCTGTTTCCTGTTTTGCGACCCGCGTCTTCTTTTTTAGGCGTCGTCCTCCACTACGCCCAGATGGGGACGCTGCCCGCCTCGATCCACGCCTGCGCGGCGACCGGCCACCCGCCCACGCACATGGACTACCTCGACGGCCGGGCGGTGATTGCGCGGCTGGAGGCGGCCGCCGCGATGCTCAGGCCGCTGCGCGGCGTGCCCAGCCACCGCGCCGCGCCCGCGTCCAGCCGCGGCTTGTGCCGCGTGAGCCTGGTGACGCAGGAGTCGCAGACGGCAAAGTGCGAGGAGGGCGTCTCGTTCGGCTGCATGGACTCGATCCGACGAGGGCCGAGAGGCGCGCACCTCGGAGACGTGGTCTGGATCTTTGGCGGATGCCGCGGCCGCTTCCGGTGCGACAACAGCGGCATCGAGCTGCGGTGCGGCATGCCCGGGTGGCCGTCCAGACAGATGTACCGGTGCCCGTGCGTGACGCCGACCGACGAGGTGCCGCTGGGGGTGCCTCTCGCTCTGCAAAAGAGCTAAATAGACAACGACAGGGCGCCTCTCGTCGCACCACAGTCGCCGGCTTCGTTTATTTTTCGTGCGCGAAAGAGTTCTGAAAAGCAAGTGTTTCCATGTCGGGTTCTACAAATATCGCGCGCGTATCGGCTGGGTTTTTACGTGGACGAAAAAACAGCCAAGCGGCGCTGTCCACGTTCCTAGCTAGGGGGGGGGGGGGGCGGGGGGCACTCGGGCGGAGGATGTATTTCGCTCGGTCGGTAATACCTTCTGTGGATGTTGTTGGCAAAACACAAAACAAAAGTTGTTTGGTATTGCTAAAATCTCTCTCTCTCAAAACACCGGACTCTTCAGTCAGCCAAAAGACAGACAGACAGAGGAAGGTGTGTGAGACAAAGGCGTCCCGATGTGAATGTATGTGTGCGTGTCATCTATCTTCTCTCGGAGAGAGGAGCCACCCTCCCTTGCTCCTGATCTCCTGTGAAAGGGTCTGTCCCGCGCACATTGTCACGGAAGGTGAAGCGCGCACATTGCAGGGATATAGGTCTCCTTCCTGCCAAACCGAGTTGTTGATTGTGACTGAGAAGATGGGTGCCGCCTGCTCCTCGAACGTGATTGACGACACGAGCCGCTCCATCCCGACACGCGCCGGCCCCCTCGTCAGCGAGGTCGGATTGAAGCCCGGTTGTGAAGGCGGCGGAGCAAAGCTCGGCTACAATGTTGTTCAACGCGACGGCGACAACCGCTTCCTCTCTTACTCAAAGGGCTTCAACGCCAGGAGAGAGCGTCTGGAAGCCCGCCGCAACATTCTCACCGCCACCATCCTTGCCCCGTCATCACCACCACCGCCAGGAGAGAGCGCGTCTGCAAGCCCGCCGCAACATTCTCACCGCCACCATCTTACCCCGTCATCACCAACCCACCACCCTCCCTGCCTCGACGCTGCCAGGTGGGTGGGCTGCAACCTCGAGTCGAAGGGGGTGGGGTGCTGATCCCCCTCCTGCTGCCGCGAAGGGGGCGAGGATCAGCGCGGCGAGAGAGACGGCCGCCTCTGCCGCGCGCCACCTCGCAGGCATCCCGTGCAGCAGCCAGGCGAGGGGCGTCGGCATCGGCTGCGTCTCGTGGTGCGCCGCGGCGCAGTCGAGGCGCCGCCAGCAGGAGGGGGAGTGGTCGGCGAGCCGGGAGAGGCCGGCGCCGAGCAGGAGGCGGAAGAGGTGCCACCGGAAGAGGAGGAGCACCGCGGAGGGGGGCGGGAGCAGCCGCGGGTACAGCGTCGAAGGAGGCCACTCGGGCGCGAGGAAGATGGCGAGGAAGCCGAGCTCGAGCCTGTTTCTTTGCTTGCAGAGCTCTCCGAATGGCGAGTAGGTGTCTGACAGTGACTGGGGAAGGTGGTAGAGCCGGTTGCAGCGCCTTGCGAAAAAACAAAAACCCAACCTTCTGGTCTCGTATCGTATAGGATCGCTCGTCTCGTATCGTCTCGTATCGGATCGTCTCGTCTCGGTCGGATCGTCTCGGTCGCGCCTCGGTGCGCCTTCCTCGCGAGAGACGTGAGACGCCAGACACTCGGACAAAATCCCGCCGAGCCATCTGACCACGCCCTTCCTCCCCCTCTCTCCGGCGAGGGAGGACGGGCCGAGCCATCTGACACACGCCGCACGCCACTGCAGCCTCGCATCGCACTTCGGTGTGCGCATAGACTCGGACGTAATCCTACCACCCGCGCTCGCCTCACCCTCCTCGGCGCTCACTCGGCTCCCAAATTTCCACCGCGACTGCTCCGCTCTGCTCACACGTCGCGTCTTATTCAGTACCAGCGGCGAGAGGCCGAAGCGAGACTGTCGCCGAAGTGCGACCGAGGGACGTTTCGCGGACGGTCCCGGGTCGAACTTCTTTTCTCTTCTTTATCGTTGACGGAACCGGAGTTCTGCTTCCTTGGGGTTGAAAGCAACTTTGCCTCAGGGACGGACGATATCGTCCGTCCCTGAAGCGCGGCCGTAGAACGATTGGAGGGAGGGAGGGAGGGAGGGAGGGGGGGAGAGAAGAGAGAGAGAGAGCAGCTCGAGAGTAGAGGAGAGAGAGCAGTCTGCAGAGTCAAGTGAGGCCGGCGTGAGAGAGAGAGAGAGAGAGAGAGAGAGAGAGAGAGAGAGAGAGAGAGAGAGAGAGAGAGAGAGAGAGAGAGAGAGAGAGAGAGAGAGAGAGGGTGAAATTCTGAAAAACGTGCAGCACTTTCAACACGGTCAGCTACTGCCCACACACGGGAGGGGAGATGCGTAATACGAGTACTAATGCTCGGGCTCAGATGGGTTTATATGCTGCCGGCAGGCGTAAAAGAAAGAAAGAAAACAGACAACCCAAGGGAGGGATGGGAGGACGGCACGCCGGCAGGCGTAGAAAGAAAGAAAGAAAGAAAACAGACAACCCGGTGTTTTGTGGGCGAGAATTCGGGGAGGGTACCCATTCGTTGCTGGTAGCGAGTCGACGCTGCTTGACCTGCCAGCGTCGACTCGCCCTGTTCGCAGATCTCCTCTGCTGGCGCCATGTGCCTGTCGCCGGCGCTGCAGAGCGGCGAGGACATCGTCAGCCACCAGCTCGAGCTGCAGTCGATCTTGCACGGTGTGCACCAGCGCTACGCCGGCCGCCAAGGGCGGTACAACAAGCACGACACGGCGCGGCTCCGCTACATCAAAAACACCGCCTTCCCGGGCCTGCGCTTCGGCAAGATGGTGCCGGAGCGAGACATGGCGATGCTCAGCCCTCTCCCACCGTCGCGGATCGCCCGTCACCTCGCCTCTCCGCAGGGTCATCTCTCGCGCCGTCTGCATCTCTCTGCCGGTCGCCAGCACCCGCCACCGACTGGCTGCACCGCCACTCGCGACGCGCCACCCTCGCTCACCAGCCTGCATACGCGCTACTCCCGCCGTGCCTTTGCTGCCACATGGATCGCATGTCACTGCAAACGCGCCCGCAGCCGCGCCGTAAAGGTCTGCCTTGCTGGCTGACGATCTCACTCTCCCGCTCCTATTGCATCTGCCTCCCGCCTCCCAGCTCACATTTGACACTGCAGTAGGTGCTCCTGTCGACGCTGCCGCCGCTGCCACCGCTACTGTCACCGCTCGTTTGATAATCGACGCCACGCTTAGCGGCAGCGAGATCCGAGGTTGAGTCAACTTGCCTGGTGCGCTCTTGCGCGTGCCTTCAAGATCCACAAGTCAATTTGTACCAGAAATCCAAAGGTGGTGCAAAATGGATATCTCAAGATTGGCCTTTATTTCGCGCACCTGCTCTCCGCCGCCGCCGCTTACCTGCTGGCACGCCACCGCCCCGCGTCGCTAACTCAAGCCTCCCTGCTGCATCTTGCCACCCCTGCCACATGACTCGACCGCCGTCGCTGCTACCGCCCTCCCCGCCGCCCTCGAAGGCGCCACCAGCATTACGGCCGCCTTCATATCTCATTGATGCTGCCACCAACGCCACTTCCTCGATTCTGTGCCGCTGCAGCGGCGAGGCGCCGTCGCCACGATCGCCGCCAGCGCTGCTGATAGCCTCGGAGCGTCGCCGTGGCCGCGTTCTGGTCTGCCCACGCTTCCCTAAAACGTCTAGGACGAGCTCAGAGGCTAAGGGCGCATCATGTGGGACCATCTAGCTCTACTGGGTCCGCGACGGTGGTCGGCGCACCCCCGTCTCGAACGTGTGTGCTCTCTGTCTGTCTGTCTGTTGTTTCGGCTAAGTCGTTTTGTACCGGATTTCAATGTTAGTGGCAAAACCGCGGAGCCGAAAAGGGCGTTTAATTTCGCGCACCTGCTGTCCGCCGCCTGCGGCGGCGCTCCGCGCCGCTTGGGGCGCCTGCGGCGCCCCTGGGCGCGCTGCGCGCGCCTGTTTTGGGGGGGCTACCAGCACCGAAAAAGTGCCGAGAATGGTACCCATTTCCTGTCTATTGCGGCGTGCATGCATCCTCCCTTCTCTCGACCCGACCGCAGCCTGCAGCAGTTTGCCGCGCGGGCGAGCGGTCACGGCGGCGCCGAACGTGATACCGCCGACGGTGAGCTCGCCTCCGCCCCTGCCCCGGTGCAGTCCGAGAGCCACGCCGCGCTGCTCGCGCCAGGGGGTTTGAGCTTGCATCTCTCGCGCAGCAGCAGCACCGGCTACGAGGGCGTGTTGCTTGACGCCTCTGGCCGCTTCTGGGCGATGAGCAACACGGACGGGACGGCGTCCGACTTGGGCTACTTTGATACGGCGGTCGAGGCGGCAGCCGCGTACGCGCGGGAAGCAGGGCAGGGGACGGCGGCGGCGGAGGAGGCTGCAGTCCCCGCGGCCGCGGCGGCCGCGGAGGAGGCTGCAGTGCCCGCGGCGGAGGCGGCGGCAGCGGTGACCGACGAGCGCAGGCTCTCCTCCAAGGCCGTCGAGGCGGGCGGGAGCGGCTCTGCCAGCACGGCCGCATTTCAGACGGCCAAAGACGAGCCCGGACCGGCCCCGCGCTCGGGCGGAGTGGCGCAATCGGACGCGCCGCAACGGCAGCAGCGGCGCGACGCGGCGGCGGGCAAGCGGGCTTGCCGCGCCTTGCCCGCGGGGGGGCGGCAGCAGGACTTGGAGTTCGCTATTCAAGGTCAGATGGTGCGCGCCGCCTTGAGCGGCCAGCTCTTCGGGCCGCTGCTCGCGGGCGGCGCCTCGGCCTTCTCTCTCAACCAGCAGAACGCAGGATGGAATCCCCTGACGATCGCCGCCGGATTGCGCGACACCAACACGGTCCAGGCGCTGCTGGAGCGCGGCGCAGAGGTCCACCACCTCGCCGAGGCCAAGGTGATGGGTGACCGCACCGCGCTGATGATTGCCTCCATGAACGGCGACGTGCGGGCGATCGACTTGCTGGTGGAGCACCGCGCCGAGGTTGACCAGCAGAACAGCAGCGGCTGCACCGCGCTGGTGTTTGCCGCCCGGAACTCGTCGCGTGGGACGCCGGCGGCCGTCGCGCTGCTCGGGCACGGCGCGGCGATCAACCACGAGAGCAGCGACGGCCGCACCGCACTGATGGAGGCCGCCGAATGCAGCTTTGCGACGGTCGAGGCGCTGTTGCTGCACAGCGCGGCGGTCAACCATCGGTGCGGCGACGGCTGCACCGCGCTGATGTATGCCGCCAGGTCGGGCCCCACGCACAACGTCCTCGCGCTGATTGAGGCGGGCGCGAATCTCGACCATCGGAACAGTGTCGGCCGCACCGCGCTGATGGAGGCCGCCAGTGTGGGCGGCGAGCGGGCGGGGCGGGCGGTCAACGCGCTGCTGAAGAAGGGCGCCGACGCCAACGCTGAGGACGTCAACGGCTGCAGCGCGCTACGGCTGGCTCGCGACGCGGGCCACGCCGCGATCGTGCGCCTCCTCGAGCAGCACGCCGTCCATCATGCCGAGCCGCCACAGCAGGAGCCCCCCCCCCCCCCCCCCCGCCCCCGCTCCCCACCCTCTCCCCCCGCCGCCTCCCGCCCACCTTTACCGACACACCGCCACACGTGCGCAGACGGCCGCCTCCCGCTCCATCGCCGCGCCGCCCAAGGCGCCTTCCGTGGCTGAGGCGATGGAGGTGGACGAGGGCGGGGCAATGGAGGTCGACGAGGCCGGGCCGGCCACGGCGGCAAAAGGAGCGGCGACCTCTCGGCGGCTCCGGCCTCTCGGCGGCTCCGACGAGGAGCGCCGCCCCGGCGAGAGCCTTGTCCGCCCGCCCGCCCCGCGGCTCGACCCTCGGAGCGCGGCGTCGGCTCGGTGCCCGCCGCTGTACTCTCTGCGCGCCGCGGAGGGCGTGATCGGCGAGGGTGACGCCGTGCGCCCTGAAGATCACCAGCGCGCCAAGGCGTGGAGGGAGGCGGTTCGCTCGGCGACGGAGGCCGCAGAGGAGGCGGGCCGGCGCAGCCGGGCTCAAGTGCGGGCGTATGTGGAGGTGCACAAGGCGGACATGGAGAGAGTCGCCAGCGAGCAGCTCCGCTTCCGCCCGGGCAAACGCGTTTATTGCAACCGGTCGGCGCGCCCGGGCTTCAACCGTCAACACCCTCCGCATCCTACGGCCTTGTGGGAGGAGGGGCGGGTGACGCAGGTCTGGCCGGCCTGCCTCGAGGCCCGGGGCGCTCCCTACCAGGTGATCCTGAAGGACGGGACTTACGTCTTCGTGAGGAAGGACACCGACGAGTGCATCCGTGACGACAAACACGGCGACGCCGGTTGGCTCAAAGCGTGCTATAGTCACTGGCCCGCGCCCGAGTGCGTGCGGACGCAGCGGCTGCTCAATGGCGTCCTCACGGCGGAGGAGGTGCACGCCCTGCTCTCGCGCTCGGGCCTCGAGCTGCTGCACGACATCGACACGGTGTTTGAGGAGGTCGATCCGTTCCGAGAGCGCGACACTGATCTCACACTACTTCTACCGGAGACCATCCAGCCGTACCACGTGCTCCGCAACTTTGTGGTTTGGCGGCGGGCGGCGGTGGTCTGCGCCGACGAGCCGCTCTACTCGCCCGCGCTCATCCGCGACGTCTACCCGGACCCGAGCAGCGACGCGTCCGGGACGCTTCGGTGGCTCCTCGACCTCGCCGTGTCCGTCGACGGCGTCGTGCGATACGAGCAGGCGGTGCCGCCGTGGCGCCTCTCCAACGCTGTCGGCGGGTCGGACAGGGAGTCTGGGGGCCTGGTACACACCCTTGGCGGCTGTTTGCTACCCGACGCTCGGGAGGCACTCGCCGGAGGCGAGGGCGCGGCGCGACTCAGCTTCCTCCTCGCGGAGGCGAGCTCGGGCGTTGCGGCTGTCGACAAGTGGCACGAGCTGCTGCGGGCGGCGGACCTGTACGAGTACGAGCCCGCGGCGGGCGAGGACACGCTGGTGTACGTCGGGGAGCCTAGATGCGGCACACACATCCCTCTACACGCTTGGATGCCGGTGTGACGCTTGAGTTCAACGTATTCACACCCCACTGTATCGGCACGGATGCATGGCAGCCGCAGAAATGTCGATTATACCATGGTTCCCCTCTGTCTTCAATAGGTGGGGGAGTACAGCTATCATGCGGCCTTCTACGCGCGCCTGCGCACGCGCGACGCCCAGTCGGCGCTGCTCGACTTTCTCGCCGAGATCACGAACCCCAACTTGGAGGAGGAGAGCTCGGCGACGTGGCAGCGCTGGCTGGTGGAGTTGTACGACGCGTGGCCGCCGGACCGTCGGAAGATTGCGGTGGCGTGGCTGCGCTGGCTGCTCGGGCCCGAGGAGCGGCAGAGTGGTTTCACGGCGCTGCGCGAGTTTCTCGTGCATGAGAACTCGCTGTCGCCCTGCGAGCACATTGCCCGTGACGACGCGGGGCGCTTTAGTCTGCCACGCGCAGCGCGCGACGCGCTGGTCGGGCCCGTGGGCGAGCTCGTGTCGGAGGGCGTGGTGGAGAAGCTGCACGACCCGGAGCGCTTGGCGTGCCCCATTTGCCAACGCGGGGGAGGCAGCTGTGCCGAGTGGGTTCAGCTCTGCCCCTGCCGTCATTGGTGCTGCCAGCCGTGCGTTGCGGAATGGGAGCGCGTGGAGGAGCGCGCTGCTGTTGCGGTGTGTCCGGTGTGCCGCGCGAAAGTCGAGGGGACGGATCTCCAGGATCTGGACTGGGATGCGTTGTGAATGAAGCCGGGAGAGGAGATGCGTTTTGTGAAGCTTCATTCACGTGTTGTCAGGGCGCAGATCCCTTGCTGCAGCAGCAGCAGCAGTAATAAGGCGACAAGAAACGGGCGTCACACTCAAGGACACAGACATTGGACACGCTCTGCTCACCGCTCACGAACAGCGAGAGACTCAGAGACATGCGCCTCACATGCGCCGACACCGAAAAGAGAGAGTCAGTGAGAGTTCAAATCTCGGCGACTACTGTAGTGACATGCAACTGTACTGCGACATGACAGGTGCACCTGGTGGCAAGCACCTCAGGTTGCCTGCTCAAAATCGGACTCACCGCCGCCCTTTCGGGGGGGGGAGGAGCTGAGCCGCCGCTTGGCCGCCTGCTTGCTGCCCGCGCGGCGGCCAGTCTGGCCGTCCGACGCACGAGGCGGCGGCGCGCGCGAGCTCGAGCCGCACCGTGCCGCCGACCGCGGCAACGACCGAGCCGCCGGCACATCGGGCAGCTGCAACGAGAGAGGATGGGCCTTGGCGTGGGCGACAACCGCACTGCGCGCCTCGCGGAAGCCGAGGCCGGTGATCCAATCGTTCACCAGCTTGCCGTCGAGGAGCGGGGCGAGAGCGCCGGCGTTGGAGCGCACAAACGATTTCAGCTCGTCGCGCTTGAGCTCGGCGACATGAGCGGCTGCCCCTCCGCTCGCAAGCGCCGCCTGCTTCTCCGCCTCCGCCGCCTCCGCCGCTGCCGCCTTGTCCGACAGCCCGTCGCGCCGCACCTTCAGCGCCTCCTCGCGCAGCGCGTGGCCCGCCCCGCCCGGCCCCGAGTAGGCGGCCTGTGCAGTGCGCAGCTGGTCGTTCTGCGCCTGGCGCACCGCCAGAGGCGTGGCGTGCCATGCGAGGTGGTGCTCCAGCCCGACGCCCTGCCCCATCCAAGAAAAGGAGAGGAGGGCCTCGGTCGCCCGCACGTCCGGGTGGACGAGAGACTCGACGCCCGGCGCGGCGCTGTGTACGAGCGCGAGCAGGTTCTCGGCGAGGGCGGAGTCGAGGATGGGCTTGAAGTGGCGCCGCACGCCTGAGACAAAGTTGTCCGCGGACTGCGAGTTGTTCTCCCACGATCCATGAACCAGGAAGTCGGCAAGCGCCGTGCCCTCGTGCAGCAGCGGCGAGTCGAGCAGGGCGGCGACGCCGGAGCGGAGGGAGGAGGGCTCGGCGACCAGGTAGGGCATGATCGTGCCGACGACACCCTCGACGAGCGCGTCGCCGAGGATCCGCTCCACGACGAGCCCGAGGAAGGTGGCTCGCGAGCTCTCGACGATGGGAACGACGTCGGGCAGGAAGCGGACGATGCCGTCGACGAGGTGGCGGCGGAGGTAGAGGCGCAGGTGGCGGAGGAGGGCGAGGGGGCCGGGGAGGACGAGCATCGACCTGATCACGTGAGGGCGAGGGAAGACGGGATGAAGGCGCTGACGCGGGAGGGGGGAGGGGGAGGGGGGCAGGCGGGCGAGGCGTACGGTGTAAACGAGAAGATGGTGCCGGAGCCGAACGGCTTGCACGCCCAGCCGAGGCCGTTGGCGCCGGTGCCGCAGATCTGGTCGGGCGGGCAAAGGAGCCGCGGGATCGCCTTGCTGACGCAGCGCACCGTCTTCCACAGCGACGAAGCGCCGACGGCCCGTGGGTCTCGGCTGAGCTGCTCGGGCGCGACAGGCGGCACGCCCGCCTTCTTGATCTGCCAAAAGAGGCGGGCGCACAGGCTGGGCAGCGGCAGCTTGAGGTACTCGACGCAGCCATTCGCGTCACGCGAGCCGATCGCCCTCTGGTGTGAAGGCGGCGACTCAAAGTCGCGCTTGCTCAAGGACAGCACCTCCTGCACGAGGAAGCCGTTGAGGTCCCGCCAGCCGACGACGCACTCGACCGCCTCGTCGCGGTCCTTGATGGAGCTGAAGAGGTCGGAGAGCTGCTCGCCAACGGAGACCGTGACCTGTGCGCGCCAGGCGGGTGGGTGGGGGTTCGCCAGCCTGCTTGCGCAGCCGAGGGGGGAGGGGGGAGGGGGGGAGGGAGGGAGGGGCGCGGGGGGAGGCAGCACCTCCCGCGACGCGAAAACGGAATTCTTGGGGAAGCAGCCCGAGTCGGAGAAGTCGGTGTACTCGACGTCCTTGCCGCTGCGCCGCGCCAGGCGGAGCAGCACGCCAAAGTCGCAGCCCGGCCGCTGTCGAGGGGCGCGGGTCGGAAGGTGAGGGGAGGGTGGGAGACGCAGAGAGCGGGGCCGGTGGAGGGTGAGGGTGAGGGGAGTGAGGGGGAGAGGGGGGGGAGGGGGAGAGGGGGGGGGGGGGGGGGCACGTCGGCAGCGAGGGTCCACGTGCAGAAGACTTGCTCCTCGGAGAGGCCCGTGGCCGCGACGATGCCGGCGAGGTACTCCTCGGCATTCCACACGCCGAGCGACGCCGCCCCCCCGCCGGGCACGGCCGCCAGCCGGGTTCCGCAGCCGTTGGGAGCGTCGGCGCCCTGCAAGAGGACGATGCAAGTGCGCTCCGAGGTGCGGAGCAGCTCGAGGCGCTTGAGGGTCGCGTCTTTCCTGCCCGCCTCGTTCTTCACCGCCGGCATGTCGCATGGCAACGGCCCGAGTGTCGCCTCCCACCGCCCCTTGCCGGTGGTGGTGCTGAGATCGGCGGAGAAGAGGGCGGGGAGGTGGCGGTCCGAAATAGCCCGCAGCAGGCCGCCCTTGTCGAGTGCCGGCTCGCGGTTTTCGCGCGTCAGCCCGTCTTCAGCCCGCTGGACCCGAGGAAACCACGCCTCGACCCCGCTCGCCTGCGCGCGGTCGGTCTCGAGTTCGCTGACGACGGCCGCGTACGCATTCTGATGGTGGATCCAGTCGTACCGCTCGAGAGTTACGATGGACCCGAGCCCGACCAGGCCCTCCTTCTTGAGCTTGGAGTTGACCTTCTTCCGGTCTCTCGTGCCGTAGCCGCTGTCGCTCATGGCCCGCCGCCTGCGTGCGCGTGCAGGCGGAGAGGCGGTGAGATGGACAGGGGAGGGGGGCGAGGGCGGAGGCGGCGACGCGCCGCGCGGCGTGGCGGCAGGCGGTGGCCGGCGTGCGCGGCGTTCGGGGAGCGGCTGACCGGTCGTTTGGCGCGACTTTTTTCCTTTTTCCTGGTTTAGCAGCGGGACGAACGTCGAGGTGCTCGCCAACTTCGAAGCAAATCTCGCTGTGCGCCGCCGTGGGCTCTCATGAAGCGCCGAGCGAGCTCGTCCGGGCCGAGCACACCCACTGGGCTGCCCACGGTGCGCGGTCGCACCTCGGACGCGCGCTGAGAAGCCCTCGCCGCGCACCGTGCTGACGTCGAAGCGAGACCGCGCTCGCGCCGCGTGACACCTGCTTCTCCCTGTCGCAGGGTCTCCCGCTGCTGGCGGTTGTGGTGAGTCCCACTAGCGTGCTGCACGTGCTTCCGGCCGACAAATGTTGCACGGGTGTGTCGTCTGTCATGCCGCGTCGCCCTTCGTCGTTATTCGCGCGTGCTCTTCTTGCGCCGCCATGTGCCGTCAGTGGGGAACTGTCTGTCGCGACAACCTGTCGCACATGTTTCTAAATACTAAAACAAGATCAGTATAGACCTGTCGAGTTAAGCTGTTTGCACAGTACACAATTTTGAGCAAGCCGGTGCGGCGAGACTGAGCGGGGTGCGTGGCGGGCATGGTGTGGGGACGGGGCGGCGTCAGGCTCCCCTCGCCGCATGCCGCTGCCAAAGGCGGGGAGGCTGGCGGGGAGGCCTCGTCGCCGTCCCCGCCGCCCCGCGCGAGAGTGCTCGCCGTCACGCACAGCAACTCGGCCGCAGACGTGCTCCTCGCGGCTCTGCTCAGGCTGGGCGTGCCCGCCGTGCGCGCGGGTCGCCCGGCCGCGGTCAGCCCGGCTGTGCGGCGACGGACAGCGGTCGCGCTGGCGCAGCAGCACCCGGAGGTGGTGGCACTGAGGGCGCGCGCACGCAACGCGTCGCTTCCCGCGCACGAGCGGTCTGCCGCCGCCTCCGAGCTGCGTGGCGTCGGCGAAGCGGTGAGCCAGCTGATCCGCCGCACCGCCCCGGTCGTCGTCTCGAGTTGCATCAGCGCGCACCAGCTGGCCGAGGAGGGGGCGCCTTTCCCCCTCGTCGTCCTCGACGAGGGGTCGCAGGCCCGTCGGGAGGCGCGGCCCACTCCCAGCTGTGGGCCGGGAGGAGGCGCGAGGCGTTGTTGACGAGGGAGAGGTGCAGAAGCCAGAGGCTGGCGGGCAGCGGCGCCCACAGCGCGAAGCGAGGCCCTCCGAAGGCGAGGAGGAGAGAGAGCAGCAGCCCACACAGGGAGGCGAGCTCGACGCGCGCGTCGGCTGAGCCCACGCCGGCGGCGGCAAGCAGGTCCAGGGCCGGCGTTGGTCCCGAAGAGCCGGTCGCGGGTGCGAAGAGCCCTCTCGCACCGAACAGCGCCCGTCCTTGCATCGCGCTCGAAGCAAAGGCGAAGACGTAAAGAAGGCCGATGCCGCGGAGCAGGGCGACGCGGGTGAGCCAGTATTCGCCGGTCCTGCCAATTCGCGGCTCGCACAGCACACAGGCAGGGAGTCCAAACAAGAGGACGACGAGGGAGCCGCAGACGGGCGCAAGACGAAAGAGCTCCTCCCGTGTTAGCTCGGACCATCCGGCGAGGTCAGGCGGTGCTGGCACCGTGGCAAGGGCATCGGCGGCGAGGCGGAGCAGCTCTGGCAGGTCGGCGGTGAGGGCTCGGTGGACTGCGGTGTATAGCGCGGCCGTGTGGGAGGCGATCATCGGCTTCTAAAAACCTTCTCTGGTGAGCTGTGAACAGAAAAACTTGCCTCGGGGGCAATCCGCTAGGTTGGGCGTGCTTTCACAGCCTCACGAGAGTTCTAAAAACCCTGGTTAGTCGCGTAGGGGGGTAGGATGGGAGCACCTCCGCGGCCGGCTGAGGGGCTAGCTCGCCCGGCGACAAGCCCAGCCATCGGACTCTCCCATTCTGTAGCGTCAAAGCGCAGCTGCCTCGTGGCTCGTGGTGCATGGTGCATCCTGCCCGCTCCTCCGCCCGCAGCTACCGGTACGCTGCTGGCGATTGATGTTGCACGCGCATGCCCACCCTCACGGCACCCACGCCATACCCGCGCGCTGACAACACTTCCTGTGCAGACCCCCTAGTGAGCCTGTTTTTGTGTCTGTGTGTCGCTCGTGCGTGCCGTCATCATCTGTCCAGCGTCCACCCATACCGCGTTGGTGTCCAGTCCGAGCCTGGCTGCGTTCTTCACCTTCCTACATACATACATACATACCGTCGGGTACTTATTTTAAGATGAGGTAAACAGCAATAGATCCGGGTGCAGTGCCGGATCAGTTCCTGGAGCCAGGGGGACCGATTCGCGCTTGCCAAAGGCTGGAAGCCTGCGCAGCCTGCGCTCCGGCCGGCAGAGGGCTTGCGACCCGTGGCAGGGTGACAGCCCGCCGGTGGGCGAGCCAAACTCTGGCGGAGGCAGCCCGCTCAGCCCCAGGCGCCCCTCGAACCGGAGGGTGGTCTGCCGCCGCTGCGCGGTCGGCGCGCCGAGGGCGGGAGACATGAGCTTCGCGCCACAGGTGACCTGGGTGGGTGGGTCGAGGGTGGGGGACCGATTCTCGGCAAACCGATTCCGTGAGGGCTGGGTATCGATTAGTTAGGCCGCTTCAGGGCCGGATCTATTGCTGTTTACCTCATCTTAAAATAAGTACCCGAACGTACATACCCCCTACCCCCTCCATTCGGGCGTTTAACGGACGTCTCTAGTGAGCAGCGCTAGGCGGCTCCCGTGGTGTACGTGTGTTAGTGCCAGTGCGCGCCAGTCCCGTGCCCAGCGTGCGAGAGAGTTTTGTGCCGCCACCCCCACCCCCGACCCCCCAAATCCCACGAAGAAAGAAAGAAAAGAGACAACCCAAGGACGCCGGGTTTGTCTTGTATGTGCATGTCGGGCCTGGGAGTGTGCGAGGGGCAGAAGGGGCGGGGGCGTGCGGGGCAGAGGCCCAACGTCGGGCGGCCTGTCGGGGTCCGGAGGATTCGAGGCGGGAACGAGGAGGGGCGAATGGGCGGTCGGCGTCGGGGTAGCAGCACCAGGGCGTACGGGGTAGCCGTCACTTTCCTGCCTCACAAGGGCGGGGCTGTCCCGGAAAGTGAGAAACGCCGGGCAGCGTGGCGCACAACTGAACCCTCCCATACGTGTTTGGTTGGGGTTCCTCCTTTGCTGTCCCATCTCCTCATCTCTTTCCCGCCTGGGCGGGGCAGCGGGCGGGCGCGCGGTGCGGTGTGGCGTGTGCGTGTGTGCGACTGCAACGACGGACCGCTCGCAAGAGACCATTGGGTTTAGGTAGGTAGGTAGAAAGGTGAAGAACAGCCAGGCTCGGACTGGACACCAACGCGGTATGGGTGGACGCTGGACAGATGATGACGACACGCACGAGCGACACACAGACACAAACAAGCTCACAAGACACACAGCCAGCGGGCTGCCACACACCCTGAGTCGGCGTACACATGACTCAAGGCCATTGGGTTTGTACTATGAACAACGAAGGCTTTAAAAAAAAACCATTGGGTTTGTACTATTAACAACGAAGGCTTGTATCTTAACAACGAAGGCGCTCTCAAAAAAAACCGCGCCGTGTCCACGTTCCTGCTCAGGACGCGTTGAGGCCACGCGTGGTGCGGCCTCTGCAGGCGACTCTAACATCTAGTGCGTATCATCTCTCGAGCCGGCACTGATGACTGACGGTGTCGAAGCTATGGCCGTCGAACTGTCGTCGGACACCGCTGCAGAGGCCGCGGTGGCTGCGAAGCAGGCGAAGAAGGCGAAGAAGGAGAAGAAGGAGAAGAAGGAGAAGAAGGAAGCCAAAGAGGAGAAGAAGGAGAAGAAGGAGGAGAAGAAGAGGAAGCGCGAGGCGGCCGATGAGGCGGTCGACAAGGCCGGCAAGGCGCCGCCGCCGGAGTCTGCAGTGGCAGCGCCGCCTGCGCCTGCAGCGGAGGCGCCGCTGCTGAAGCAGCAGGTCGCTGTGGCAGACAGCAAGGAGCAGCTTGCCTCCGCGGCCGAGGCTTCGCCGGCCGCCCCGGGGGCTCCTCCCGCGGCCAGCTCTCTGGCCAAGTCCGCCGGCGCCGCCGCTGCCGCCATGAAGGAGGGCGGAGCGGAGGCGGTCGAGGCCAAGGCAGCAAAGGCGGTGGACGCGCCCAAGGCTGCGGAGGCGGCCACGGCAGAGGCGCCGGCGGCGGCGCAGAGCCAGAGCCCGCCCGCCGAGGCACGCGCTTCGCAAGGAGCGGGCGCCACAGCACAAGCAGACGCAGGCCAGGCACTGCCGGTCGCAGAGGCGGCCCGGCCGGAGCCCGCAGGCGCAGAGGCGGAGGCGCCGCGCCTCAGCGCGTCCGCCAAGAAGCGCATGCGCAAGCGCAAGAGCGATGCCGCGGTCGCCGCCGCTTCCGCCGCCGCCTCGGTCGCCACCAACACCGCCGCGCCCACCGCCGCCGCCGCCGCCGCGCCAGCCGCTTCGCCGGCTGCCGCCGCGCCGGCGCAAAAGGAGAAGGCGCCAAAGGAGAAGCAGCAGAAGCAGCAGAAGCAGCAGAAGCAGCAGGTGCAGCAGCGGAAGCGCGCGCCGCCGCAGCCGGGCGCGCGGCAGCCGCTGCGCCCGCCACACAAGTCTCCGACTGCCGCGCGCACGCAGCTGCGGCCGGCGAGCTGGAGCCCGGCCGACCGTCTGCTCTAGGAAGTGTCTCGGAAGTGTCTAGGAAGTGTCTAGGCGAGCTGGAGCCCGGCCGACGTCGGCGCCTTTGTCGCCAAGGTTCCGAGACTACCCGAGATTACGCGATACTACCCGAGATTACCCGAGATTGGCCGCCATCGGCGGCGCCTTTGTCGCCAAGGCGCCCCGCGTATTGAACAAGCCCGCACACACGCGAGACGCCTCCCCCCCGACACAAGTCGCAACCCCGGGCCCCAGATCACGCCGCCGCCGTCACGCTTCCCTCCCGCGTGCCCGGAGACTGGGGTGCTAGTGCTGATGTGGGGGTGTTGGGGACGCTTCAATAGCTTATAAAGCGGTTGGGAATTTCCTGGGAGTATCCACGGTGGATCCTTAACCTCGAGCGAGAACAACTCAGGAAAACCGGATTTTC